TGTAGAAGCTCTTACTGTCCTACACAGTTAGATAATCATCAAATAATCACCCTGTCCAAACCTACAATCTTGAGACATGAAAGACTGCAGCCAAGTGGGGCCCATGTTGAGCCAGAGGTCTCTGGAATACTCTTTCATTTTGCAGTGGAATTCACTGCTACTGTTTTCAGGTCATCTCTCTAGGACTCTAAACTGTCACCATCCTTCTATAAACCGAGAGTTTTATCAAAAGAGAAGTCGGGATCCTAAATCCTCTCTGAGGCATTGGGTTTAACTTAATCACAGAAGATACATTCATATTCTGGATAAATCCTGCTCTGCCTCCCTCAACAGAGAGCAAGTCAAAATTTATTGGATATGTGTGAGCATCTACATCTGTTCAGTAACTCATGTTCCAGGCTTTAGGAACATATACGATCTTCAAAGGTAACATCAGGTCCCCTCGTCATCTTTGTTTGTTTGTTTTTGTTTTTTGAGACAGGGTTTCTCTTGTAGACAAGGCTGGTCTCGAACTCACAGAGATCCGCCTGCCTCTGCCTCCCCAGTGCTGGGATTAAAGGCGTACACCACCATCCAGCCAGGTCCCCTCTTTATCAAAAACAGTAATTTTGCATGCCCAAATTGCCTCATTTGCAGTCTCCTTTGGGAGTAAGATAAACCTTGTAATACACTACTATGATTCTCTCTAGTGGGAATCAGGACTGCACCGTGACTTAACTTGTAGGGTCCTTGGGTTCTGATTTCCTCCCCTAAATTCAGCTGGTCCGCAAAACTCAACTTTGTGGCTGACCTCAATATTTAGGTCATTTGAGGGTCATGCCTCAACCTCATCAGCTGCAATCACAATACTGGTGTCAAGCTCAGGCTATGCTACCTGCAGGTCATGTCTAATTGTTGTACTGTCATGTGATGCAAAAGTGATTCCCATATGTCTTTCCTTTTACTCAGCTGGATCTCATCATAAACAGGGGCTTATCCGTGCCTGGTAATTCATAGAGCGCTCTTGAGACACTAAAGGATGTTCTCTGGTGAGTTACCACCCCCTGCTGGCCTCACACACACACACACACACACACACACACACACACACACACACACGAGAGAGAGAGAGAGAGAGAGAGAGAGAGAGAGAGAGAGAGAGAGAGAGAGAGAGAGAGAGAGAGAGAGACTTGGCTCTACCGACTGATCTGGCAACGTGTTGGCCACTTGAGATTCCGTCAATAAACATGTGCTTGTGTGATTATGTGAGACCGAACGCACCCATGGGGATTATCTGCAGTCCACAAAGGTCAAAGGTGTCTCTGACACCCTGCACAGGTCCTTTCTCAGGAGTCGTCGCTTCAGTCCAGGGGTGGTACTGAGCACCCCCATTCATTCTCCTTATGGGAGAACAAATGACTAGCACAAGGCACAAGGGACTGTCGCGGTCCCTGCAGTGCATTATCTGCAGCAGCACTCGGGTGTGACATCGAGTCAGATTCAGCACCTCACTGCAGAAAGACTCCCACGAGCTTGTGTGGTCTGTCTGGATAACAGCATGGCATCAACACAACCTTCTGCGACAGACTCCCCATCATGTATGGAGGGCTAAGGCCTCAGCCAGCTTGCCAAAGATGTCAACAATCAACTGACAGAATTAAGTCTTGGTCATGAACATCTCCTGGCCCCATGTTGTTGTAACCCCCTCACTGGGACCACTTGCTGGTGGAGGTTGGATTCTGAGTAATTTTTGTCCGGGATTCTCTGTATCTCAAGCTCATCTTTGATGCCTTCTTTTCTTCATGAGAACTGAGCCAACAGACACACGGATCAGATTGGGCATGGGCCACCTGGAGGTCAGTTGGAATTTTCTCACTAAGGAGTTCACAGCTACAAGGGATGTGCTTTTCTGAGCCATACTTTCAAGTTGTCTGTAGCATCCATTGGCCTCCTCAGTTCTCTCAAGGGGTGTTGTCAGAGAAAGAGAGAATCAAGACCCAGAATCAGCCATGGAGAATCACAGGCTGGGTAGAATCAGGGCCTATTCACACACTGGAATCCAAATCCAAGAGAGAAAACCCAGCTCAGGAATTCCCTGGTTGCTGGGGAGAGGGCTCAGCAGGTGGCTCCTGCTGCATCAGCTCATACTGCAGAAGGCTCGCATCCCAGCCAGGCTGTGGCCTCTTCCAGCCCAGGATGGGATCTTATAGACCCGGAAGAGGAAGATAGTGAAGGCACAGACAGGGTGGAGAGCTGCCTGCCATGTGAGCTCTTGCTCATCAGTCAACATGGATCTTTGGACCAAAGTCATTGTTTGTACCTCCTTCAGGCAGCACAGGCCTCAATGAGAAATCCACAGTGTGGGTGAGCACTAGACTTTTCTATCCGAGGGGCTTAAGGGGGATAGACACTCACACCCTCTCTTTACTGTTTCTTTCTTTCTTTCTCTCTTTTTTTTTTCGGTTTTACGAGACAGGGTTTCTCTGTATTGTTTTGGAGGCTGTCAGTCCAGCCAGTACGGTTTCTTTCTTTAGTCTCTATTCTTTTGTATTCTTTCTATGTCCTTTCATTGTTGATTCAAGAAACGAAATGCTCCAGGGTGAAATTTTAGAGCCTCTGTGATAGCAGAAATGTCCATTGTCTTCTGATGGGCTGAACTGGACTCACTAGACTGGGCTTGGACCCAGAAAAGTTGTACAAAGGCATATTTGTTGATTATTACACAAAGTATTTCCTCACACCAAGGTCTCTAACCTTAATTTACATGTCTTACAGGAGGGAGCATGCCTCCATGACTACCATCCTTCATTATGCAATGTGTGCAATGCATGATACTACAAGAGCCTCAGGTGTGCCTGAGATGTCTTAACCAAAGTCATGGCATGGCCACAAGGCCCCCTCAGCAAAACAATCTCTGTTTTCCACAAGGATTCTTCAAGGTCAAGGTAAAAAGCAGCTGTTCATTCGAATATCTACCCCATACAGTGATTCTGCTAAATGCCTGCAGAGTACAGGTAAAAATGCTTTGCTTCAGCTAATGATGCACACTGAAACCTGTGACTCTAACTTTCAGCACTGGGGTCGGCATTAAGATGAAAGGAATTTGAGCCACACTGGCTCCTGGGACTCAGTTGTTTCTCTCAATCATTAACTTGAGCTACGATCTATGCAGCTCCTTAAGTGAAATGCATAGGCTCTAGCTCTGTAACATTTCCTTGTATTTACTTTTATTCATCAAAACTCTGTATAAGCTAACATTATTATTATCAGTTAGACAGTACAGCTTAAGGAGGAAGTCATCTTCATAAGAATTTGCAGGTAAAAATAATGTCCAGTAGAGTGGGATGTTTCCATGAGATTGAAGGGTCCAAACCCTCACCCTGCCATGACAGGCTGCAGAAAAGACCCAGCAAGACACATGGCCTCGGACTTCAGCAACATGTGCTGGGTTCCCAGCCTTGCCCCAACCTTGCCCTAATCACTAGGAACCCAGATACCCTCCATGTGGCAAGAAATCAATCAGAAGTTAGCTGGCAGGTTCTGGATGTGCTTTACTGATAATGGTGGAATGCAGAGCATAGCAACCACCCTGAGAGGACCTATAGGCCATAGCAACCTACCTGCAGCTGACCAATTAACACAGGACAGGATGCCCAAACCTGAGATGCACCGATCCTGAGACTGTTGCTATGCAACCAGCAGACCCCCCCCGACACTCCCCTTGCTCTACTCCAGTATATTCCCTGCCCCCACTGTTGCTCAAGGTCTCTCTTGTTCCACCTACCATGTCAGATGGGCAGGGGAATCGGAGTTGACTCATAAAATTAAAGACTCTCTGCCTTTGCATCAGATCGGGTCTCTTGGTGATTTGGAGGGTTCAGAGTTTGAGCACAACAAGATAAGCATATTACATTATTATAGACAGTGGAGAATCCCCCCACACCCAATTCAACCATGCCAGATGTGAAAGAAAGATAGCAACAGCAAACATGTAAAGACACAGCAGAAGCAAAAGAAATTCCAGAGTCTGTGGTCTCAGGACCTTGCCTAACTAAGAATTAACCATCGGGGGTTGCCTCCTGGTGAACTAATACCCTGAACTCGGTTGCTATTTCCTGGTCCTCTGTCATGGCCATCAGCATCCAAGGAATAAAGATCACAGAGTAGCTGATGCTAAAATTGTCAGAATTTGATCTGAGTACTGCATGTTCTCTGTTCTACTAGAAAGAATAGGACTTCCTCCTACACTCCAAAGGCATCATCTTGTAAAAAGCAACAGTAATACAATACTCAACAACGTATGAGAGATACAAGGATTGTTTGTGATGACTTACTGACCAGCCACCGCATGTGCATAGACATAATCCAGTCGTGCCACCTGGGCACCTGGGCAAGGCTATGAGGCTAGCTTAGGCGTCACCTGCAAACTGTGGCACAGGCAAACATCAGACCCCAACACAGACCCACCTACTCTCAAGATGCAGACAGACAGAGAGATGAAGGGATGGGTACACACGTACACCTAACTTTATGCTGCCACAGAAATGCAGGAAGTGGCATTGTCTCAGAATATAAGGAATAAGTCCAGAAAGGAGCAGTGATGAGCTCCAGGACTTCCAGTCACACACTGAGATGAACCAAATGGAACCAGCCCCCTCCAGCTGCTGCCAGGAGCAACCAGCACTCAAGAACCTGCTGGCTAAGTACAAAGACTCACCACAAACTCACAGCACTTAGTATCTCCCCAAAGCCAACACCTACCTGTCAAGTCCTCTTGAAATGCATGATGAGAAACCACACACTACTGCCCCATTCCCAGGCTCTGCTTTTCTTTTGAAGGAAGCAGAACAGCCCTATGTCCCCATCTCACTCCAACCCAGGCTCCAAGTTCTGCCTCTCTGGTGCACTCAGAAAAATTAGTTTGGGCATGAAAATGCCCTGGAGGTCAGCCTCCTGTCCCTGAGGAAGGCTTTGACACAGTGAAAGCAAGACAGTCAACGAGAACGGGGCGTAACGACTACCTGCTGATCAAGTCATTGTGGGTGTGATGGACCAGGGTTCCAGGGAGGTCCTTCCTCTCACAGGTCATCTCCACTTTGTTCATCTTGTGGTTCTGCTCAGTGAGGGTGGGGAGTTGGGATGGTGCCTTCCCAGTAGTTCCTATAGGGAGATAAACACAACTGAATTTGTCTAGTTGAATGGCATAAGGTCAGGGAAGAGCATGCTATGTTGCAAGAAGCCTGAGAGAAAAAATAAAAGGCTAGGAATCCTTCCTTCCAAAGCCAGAAATTAGCTCTATGCTTCAGTAGAAACTTTTTATCTCTGGGGAGTTGAGGACCCATTTTCCAAAGACTGCCCAAGAATGGCCCTTCTCCTCCTTAGAATCCTTACACAGTCAGATAAGAGATAAAGGTTGCTGAGAAACTAGACCAGAGGATGGGGAGGAGGCAGGGTTATTCCCCTGGAGTCAGTGAGTACTCAGGAAAGATCCTTGGTGTGGAGATCGAAACAGAGAAATCATACAAGCAGTGATGAGAATCTCCCCCAGAGCCTCAGCACAGCTCATTGCAGCCGTGAAGCTGTCAGTGGAGATGTGATTAGCTGATCACGGGTCAGGCTGGAGCCACAGGAGAACTCGGTCACCACAGGTGCAACCTTAGACATCAAAAGCAAACTTTCTGACATAGCATATGATGGGCCAGACCTGGATCAGGAATCTAAGGGAAGAGTAGAGACAGTAAAGAGGTCGGTCCGGGCTATGGAGATTGCATCATGAGTGGGAAAACACACACACATCAGTACACACATGAACACACGCACACATGAGCATGCACGCACGCACACACGCACACACACCAGTAAACAGCACACAGTCATAGGATAAAACATGGTAGATCACTGATATAGTACTTCAATCAGTGAACAAAAGCCAAATTCCAGCCAGGTGGTGGTGGTGCATACCTTTAATCCCAGCACTCGGGAGGCAGATGGAGGCGGATCTCTGTGAGTTCTAGGACAGCCTCCAAAGGTACAGAGAAACTTTAGAGGAGAGAGAGAGAGAGAGAGAGAGAGAGAGAGAGAGAGAGAGAGAGAGAGAGAGAGAGAGAGAAGCTGAATTCCTTCATCTAGAGCCACATGTGACAATTTACACGCCCTTGAAAAGGTGGCTCTGCTAGGTTTGGGCACAATAACCTAATGATCAGAACATGAGAAGGGCAGGCAGAGGGATGGACTGATTAAAGCCCCACCTCACCTTCCGACTTATCCTGACAGTCCCCGTAAAGAGGAGTCAGCCCCTGGTCAGCCTGGAATGCCTATTCTCAGATGCCTGGACTTCCACCTCCAAAGTGTTTTCCTTGGGCCCTAGGTCTGCTGAGGGTTGTGCCTTTTTCAGATGTTGTATTATCCAGCATTCTCTAAAGTAGCATAACTTATAGAATTAGTCTCTCTCATATATATATATATATGTATATATATATATATATGGAATTTACCAAAATGACTCACAGGCTATGGTTCAACTAATCCAACAGTGGCTGGATGTGAATAGAAATCCCAAGGATCCAATACTTGCTCAGTCCACAGGTAGGAGAAGAGGAAGGCAGAGAGAGAGAAAGGAGAAAGAAAGAGAGGGAGAGAGAATGAATGAATGGAAGAGTATGCAGAGATGAGGCCGTGGATCTGGAAGGCAAGGTACTGAAGGGTTGCCTGCAAATCCCAGCAATTAGGAAAGACGTCAGGTGGCCTGCACTGCCACCTGGAGCCGTGCGTCATCCAGGCCAAGCTGCTGCCAAGGGCCGTCTGTGTCTGGGGCTGTGGCCCCTCCACAGCCACAATCTGTGCTGCAGTCTGTGTCTCCCATCATCACTGAAGGCAGCGAGGTCAGGGCTGCCAGAGTCGGCCCTGCCCCTCACTGGTTGCAGCACAAGGATGAGCTGTCCCTGCCCTTCACCAGCTGCAGCACTCAGGGGAGTGGACCCTGTACCTCGCCTGGACAGCACAGCAGAGCTGACCCAGTTGGTCATGGTGTGAGCTAGCCAGCCCTGAAGGGGAAAAATTGGGAGCGCTAGCCCTACTGTCCCTCATGTGTTGGTGTGGGTGAGGGAGAGACATCCCCTGCCCCTCACCCCTCACCCGTCATCACCTACTATAGGTGGCAAAAGCTGTTCCAGGGTCATGAGAGTGGGAGAGTGATGGGGAAGTCCTCCTGTGCATATGTCAATAAAGCACTGTTGGCCAAAAAGGAAGCAAGATAGGTGGGACTACGAGTCAAGGAGGATTCTGGGAAAGAGAGGCAGAGTCAGTCATGATGTAGCCGCCATAGGAATAAGAGGTCCAGACCCTTTTCTCTGGTAAGAGAAATACTTAGATTAGCAATTATGGGTTAAATACTTAAGTCAGAGATAGCCAGTAAGAAACCAAGCAAATGGCCAACAGTTTCATAATTAATATAGTGTCCTGTGTGTTTATTTGGGACTGATGCGGCTCTGGAACCAGGCTGGCGGGAAGACAACACTCTACTGGAGAGCTGGCCCTGCCCCTCACCAGCTACAGCACTTGGGAGAGCAGGCCCTGCACCACACCTGAACAGTAGAGCCGGCCCTGGTAGTAGGAGTGCAGGTGAGCCAAACCCAAGGGCCTGAGAGCAAGAAAAGGGTCCTACTCCTTCTGTCTGCTGCATTAGGTGAGCTGGCTAGGGCAACGCTGGAGAGCTTGCTCTGGTAGGAACAGTGGGGAAAGCTGGTAAGTTGACCAACCCAGCTACCACCCAGGCCCAGAACCAGGGCTATGAGCTGACTCACTCCAACATTCACCTCATGTATGTGCTGCTGAAGCATGGAGGGGCCAGACCTACAGATCCAAAACTGCAGGATCTCCATGACACAGGACAACGGACATGGGAGGGGCCAGACCTACAGATCCAAAACTGCAGGATCTCCATGACACAGGACAACGGACATGGGAGGGGCCAGACCTACAGATCCAAAACTGCAGGATCTCCATGACACAGGACAACGGACATGGGAGGGGCCAGACCTACAGATCCAAAACTGCAGGATCTCCATGACACAGGACAACGGACATGGGAGGGGCCAGACCTACAGATCCAAAACTGCAGGATCTCCATGACACAGGACAACAGACATGGGAGGGCCAGACCTACAGATCCAAAACTGCAGGATCTCCATGACACAGGACAACGGACATGGGAGGGGCCAGACCTACAGATCCAAAACTGCAGGATCTCCATGACACAGGACAACGGACATGGGAGGGGCCAGACCTACAGATCCAAAACTGCAGGATCTCCATGACACAGGACAACGGACATGGGAGGGGCCAGACCTACAGATCCAAAACTGCAGGATCTCCATGACACAGGACAACGGACATGGGAGGGGCCAGACCTACAGATCCAAAACTGCAGGATCTCCATGACACAGGAAAACGGACATGGGAGGGCCAGACCTACAGATCCAAAACTGCAGGATCTCCATGACACAGGACAACGGACATGGGAGGGCCAGACCTACAGATCCAAAACTGCAGGATCTCCATGACACAGGACAACGGACATGGGAGGGCCAGACCTACGGATCCAAAACTGCAGGATCTCCATGACACAGGACAACGGACATGGGAGGGCCAGACCTACAGATCCAAAACTGCAGGATCTCCCTGACACAGGACAACGGACATGGGAGGGGCCAGACCTACAGATCCAAAACTGCAGGATCTCCATGACACAGGACAACGGACATGGGAGGGGCCAGACCTACGATCCAAAACTGCAGGATCTCCATGACACAGGACAACAGACATGGGAGGGGCCAGACCTACAGATCCAAAACTGCAGGATCTCCATGACACAGGACAACGGACATGGGAGGGGCCAGACCTACAGATCCAAAACTGCAGGATCTCCATGACACAGGACAACGGACATGGGAGGGCCAGACCTACAGATCCAAAACTGCAGGATCTCCATGACACAGGACAACGGACATGGGAGGGCCAGACCTACAGATCCAAAACTGCAGGATCTCCATGACACAGGACAACGGACATGGGAGGGGCCAGACCTACAGATCCAAAACTGCAGGATCTCCATGACACAGGACAACGGACTTGGGAGGGGCCAGACCTACAGATCCAAAACTGCAGGATCTCCATGACACAGGACAACGGACATGGGAGGGCCAGACCTACAGATCCAAAACTGCAGGATCTCCATGACACAGGACAACGGACATGGGAGGGGCCAGACCTACAGATCCAAAACTGCAGGATCTCCATGACACAGGACAACGGACATGGGAGGGCCAGACCTACGGATCCAAAACTGCAGGATCTCCATGACACAGGACAACGGACATGGGAGGGCCAGACCTACAGATCCAAAACTGCAGGATCTCCCTGACACAGGACAACGGACATGGGAGGGGCCAGACCTACAGATCCAAAACTGCAGGATCTCCATGACACAGGACAGCGGACATGGGAGGGGCCAGACCTACAGATCCAAAACTGCAGGATCTCCATGACACAGGACAACGGACATGGGAGGGGCCAGACCTACAGATCCAAAACTGCAGGATCTCCATGACACAGGACAACGGACATGGGAGGGGCCAGACCTACAGATCCAAAACTGCAGGATCTCCATGACACAGGACAACGGACATGGGAGGGGCCAGACCTACAGATCCAAAACTGCAGGATCTCCATGACACAGGACAACGGACATGGGAGGGGCCAGACCTACAGATCCAAAACTGCAGGATCTCCATGACACAGGACAACGGACGCCCAGGCAGAATCCCAGTGAGGGCCGATTATCAACAATGTAGCAGAAGCCAGAGGCCTCAAACCCAACCAATGACTTACAGCATTGAACACTTAGAAGATGTGCGGACTAAAGGGTACAATGTATGACTCAACATAAATGAAAATGAAGTTTTTTAATGTCTTGACTATGACATCTTTACTGACAACCACACAACCTATTCTCATGTGGGTTCATGTGTTATGCCTTTTCTAGTGCCTGTCTGGTTGTTGCTGTTTCAGACAGGGTTCCTGTGTTAGTCCTGGCTGTTCCAGATTCACTATGTATATGGTGTTATCGTTGAACTCACAGAGATCCAAAAGCCTCTACCTCT